GGGGGGGGGGGGGGGGGGGGGGGGGGGGGGGGGGGGGGGGGGGGGGGGGGGGTCGGTAGGCGGGGCCAACGATTGGTACTTCTCATCGCCGACTCTTTCCCTAGATACATGCGTCCGTGGGGCGGGGGGAGGGGTCAGGGGACGGAGGAGCCGAATTTCGCTCTGTCGTGCACGACTGCCTTCCTCGATATCACACCCATCCGCTGTGCATGACATTGGGCTTCTTACTGTGTGGAACTGCAGGAGACACACGGCACACATGGCACGGGATGATCCCCCGTGCAGCAGTAGTTCTACCTGAAACCGCCGGACGAGACTAGGCGGCGGGGCCTTGAGCGCTCTCTCGTACGCCCTCTCCGTCCGCTCCGCGACGTCCGCCCAGCTGTACATGTCCCTCACCTGGTAATAGTTAGCGCGCGCGGCATCGCGTGTCGTCATGGTGGAAACCAAAACACGCTTGTATAACCGACAGCAAACACCGGGAGGACGAAAATTTCTTCGTGCTGCTAAAACCCAGTGCCTTAAGCATTCCAAGAACACCGACAAGTCATCCCGTTCGTGACCGGACCGGTGGCGGGGGGGCGCTGGTCAGCAAAGGTCTCTCACGGTTAACTTCGACAAAAAAAACAGCCCATATTTTTGTTGTTGTCCCTTTTCGTGAAATGCCGGACCACGGACGGCCAGGTCTGTCCCCGACTACTCCGGTCATGCGAGTCGCAAATCCCCGCGGCATCCAAAAGCCTACCTCAGAAGAATCGGGTTCAGGGACATCCAGCATTCAAAGTTCTCGACAAATTGCGCAGAGCATCCGGTCGGTCGTTATATGGGTAGTGGTCCGACGACTCTTGGAAGTGAACGTCACCATTCCAAAGGAGGGCGGCTTTACCATGATCACAGTTTCAGCACCGCGAATGTCGTCGTACCCCTGTTATTACATCTGTCGATCAAATTGCTTCCGCAACGTGACCCCCGAACCACATAGAAGAGCAGCAACACCCACGCCCCCCCCGATGCCACACACAAACCACCCACCGCCACCACTCACCTTTGCGTGGAACTCGCTAGGCACCGCTTTTCTGGCGAGGGGGATCGCGTCCGACAGAGCGTCCGTCAGGTCCTCCACCGTCGGCTCCGCGAACTTGATCATCGGCCCGGGGAGGACTTCCGGGACACCACCGACGGCCGTGCTCACGACAAAGAGACCGCAGCTGCTTATCGATTCGTGCGTGATATCGATAATAGTAACGCCCGAGGGGTGGGGAGGGGGGGGGGGGGG